CCCCTTACTTGTGTTCCCTCTCTCACTGTGTCTCTCTCTGTCAAATAAATAAAATCTTTAAAAAAAAAAAGATTTTATTTATTTACTCATCTGAAAGAGAGAGAGAGCAGGGGGGAGGAACAGAGGGAGAGGGACAAGCAGACTCCATGCTGCATGCAGAGCCCAATGTGGGGCTCCATCTCAGAACCCTGAGATCATGACCTGAGCCAAAATCAAGAGTTGGATGCTTAACCGACTGAACCACAGGTACCTCTAAGGTTCCTACATTCCATGTGAAGTAATATAGTATCAGTTGAACAAACACTATAATAAATGAAAGATGTACACTCTAAGCCCTACAGCAACCACTAACCTAACAAAAAGTTATAGCTGATAATCCAACAAGGGAGACAGAATGGAATCAAATTATCATAAATCACTCAATCCAAAAGAAGTCAGAAAGAGAAGGGAACAAAAAACAGATGGAAGGTTTATATCAATAATCAGACTAAATACAATGTATCTGAACATCAATTAAGAGGCACAGAGTTTCAGATGGCATAAAAAAGCATGACTCAACCATATGCTGCCTATGAGAAATTTAATATAACTCTACCAATAGTTAGAAGTACAAGGATGGAAAAAGATACACCATGCTAATGCTGTGTAGAGAAAGCTGGAATGACCTTGGATTTGGCAATGGATTCTTAGATATGACAACAAAAGCACAAGCAACCAAAGAAAAAATAGATATACTGGACTTCATCAAAATTAAAAATATTAACAAGAAAGGACATTATCAAGAAAGTGGAAAGACAGCCTACAGAATGGGTAAAAATATTTGTAAATCATGTATTTGACAAAGGTTTAATATATAAAGAACTCCTAAAGCTCAACAAGAAGACAACCCAATTAAAAGATGACCAAACACTTGAATATATATTTCTCTAAAGAAGATAAAAACGGCCAATAAACACATACAAAGATGCTCAATATTATTAGTTAAGCAAATGCAAATAAAACTATGAGATAACACTTTATACCTACTAGGATCAGTATTATCAAAATAACAAATGTTGATGAGGACATGTAGAACTTGAAACCTTTGTACGATGATGGTGAGAATATAAAATGCTGCAACTTGTTATAGAAAAGAGTTTGGCAATTCTTCAAAAGCTTAGCATAGATTTACCGTATGACCCAGCTATTCCACTCCCAAAGGAATTGAAAGCAGGGACTTGAACAGATACTTGTATTCCTTTTTTTTTTTTTTAAAGATTTTATTTATTTATTTGACAGAGAGAGACACAGAGAGAGAGGGAACACAGGCAGGGGGAGGGGCAGGGGCAGAGGGAGGAGCAGGCTTCCCACTGAGCAGGGAGCCCAATGTGGGGCTCAATCCCAGGACTCTGGGATCATGACCTGAGCCGAAGGCAGATGCTTAATGACTGAGCCACCCAGGCACCCCAGATACTTGTATTCCAGTGTTCATTATAGCATTATTCAAAATAGCCAAAAGGTGGAAACAACCCAGTGTCCATCAAAAGACGAATGGATAAACAAAATGTGGTATGTACATACAATGGAATGCTACTCAGCCATAAAAAGGAATAAAGATGTGATAACATGCTACTATATGGACGAACCTTGAAACAATTATGCAAAGTGAAATAAACCATACACAAAAGGACAAATATTGTATTCTGTTTATATGAAATATTTGGATTAGGCAAATTCATAGAGGAAGAAAATAGAGGTTACCAGGGGCTGTGGGGAGGGAGGAATTGAGAGTTGATTGCCTAGTATACTTAGTGATTACAGAGTTTCCATTTCAGGTGATAAAAATTTTGGAAATAGACAATGTTGGTTATTGTACAACATTGTGAATGCACTTAATTACACACTTAAAAATTGTTAAAATGGCAAATTCTGTTATACATTTTATAGTAATATAAAATTTAATAATTTAACATACCAAAAGTTGAATTGTACACTTTAAAGGGTGAATTGTATGACATGTGAGCTATATCTCAATAAAGCTGTTAAAAAAAACTGGAGTAGCTGTATTAGTATCTACAAAGTAGATTTCAGAACAAAAAATATAGGGATAAAGAAGATCATTCTATAATAACGAAGGTCAGTTAATCAAGAGAAAATAACAATCATAAATGTTTATGCACCCATCAAAATACATGAAACAACAACTGATTAAACTGGAAGGAAGAGATAAATCCACAATGAGTCAGAGATTCCAATACCACTCTCAGTAATTGCCAGAAGAAGTAGACTGAGAAAATAAGCTAAAACATAGAAGATTTGAAAAACACTGTCATTTGAGCTAATTGATATTTACAGAGCACTACAACCAACAACAGCAAAAAAAAAAAAATCCTGTTTTTCAAGTGCACATGGGGCATTTACAAAGATAGAATATATTCTGAACCACAAAACAAACTTCTTTCCAAAATGAAACTGAATTAGAAATCAATAGCTGAGGGGCGCCTGGGTGGCTCAGTTGGTTAAGCATCTGCCTTAGGTTCAGGTCATGATCTCAGGGTCCTGGGAGTCTGCCCCACGTCGGACTCTCTGCTTAGCGGGGAGTCTGCCTCTCCCTCTCCCTCTGACCCTCCCCCCTGCTCATGCTCTCGCTCACTCTCTCTGTCTCTCTCAGATGAATAAATAAAAAATCTTTCTTTAAAAAAAGAAATCAGTAGCTAAAAAATATGTGGTTAATTCTCTAACATGTGGAAACATATACATTTTTAAATAACCCATGGATTAAAGAAGAAATCAAAAAGAAATTAGAAAGTATTTTGACCCAAAAGAAAATCAAAACATATAAAAATTATGGGATGCCACTGAAGCAGTATTCAGGGGGAAATTTATAGAATCAAATACTATGTTAGCAAAGAAGAAATCAAAGTCTCAAATCTAAGACTTCATTTTCCACTTTAACATACTAGGAAAAGGAAAATTAAACATAATGTAAGTAAAAAACAAAGGAAATAATAAATATCAGAGCAGAAATCAATGAAATAGAAAACTGAAAAATAAAGATAAATCAGTGGAACTAAAAGGTAATTCTTTGAGATTAATAAATATGATAAAACTAGCCAGACTGATCAGGAAAGAAAGGGAAATAACAAACTACGCATACCAGGAATGAGAGAGGTGACATCACTACAGATTCTACAAATATTAAAAGGACAACATAGTATATCATAGCAACTTTAATCCAATAAACAACTTAGATGAAATAGAAAGACTTCTTTTTTTTTTTTTTTAAAGATTTTATTTATTTGACAGACAGAGCTAGAGAGGAAACACAAGCAGGGGGAGGGGGAGAGGGAGAAGCAGGCTTCCTGCCGA